GCGTTTGTCTGTGAGCACGATAACTCAAGAAATACCAAACATATCCGTACGAAATTTTTTGAATGCATTTCCCATCGGCTAAGGAAGAACTGATTACAATTTGGTTGAATTTGGTTAAAAATTGAACGAGAAATGAACAAAATTTTGTCTTGCTTTTCCCGGTCAATTAACAAAAAATATTACTGAATGCGTAATTAGGACGTGTATAATTTATGCACTCAGTGCTAAGACAATAATGAGATGATAAACCTCATTAAGCTTCGGCCTTCATTATCTATTGTCTTAGTTGCATTTCACGCGACCGAAATTCAATGTCTAAAACAAGGCTTACGGAGTTACGCATTATTACGTTCAGCAAAGTGCCAGTCCATTAAAATTCTAACAACATTAGATTACTTCAATACAGGGTGTATAAAAGAACGCAACCTCGGAATTTCCCAAGAAATCGACATTGTTTTAAAGACAAAAGATTTTAGCTGCCTGGGAATTTAAAATAGCACAACTGTGAAAATTACTGCACGCGCGAGTGCATAAAGCAAAATTTATGCATTTATTTAATGACACTTAAAAAGTTTTTATTTTACAAGTACTGTACAGTACAACAACAGTAATATGTTCTATTAGCAATTCGATTTCAATTCGCGGGGGCCTGAAATCTTTTATGCTTAAGAATTATAAAGTGGATTTCTTAGGAAATTCCAAGGTTGCGTTTCACTTCCGAGCAACGGGCGGAGGTATGCAGTCTCTGAGTGCCCTCTAGTTAGACTTTGTATTAGTCAAAGAATAAGCTGTTTGCAGAGATATAAGGGCAGCTTTCCGAACCGATTCTTGTATTTTCGAGACATTTAAATCCGCCCTTTGTTGATAGTGCGGCAGTTTTGCCCAGATTTCTGGGTTTACTGTTATAGTGAGCATACCGTTGTGCAATTGGCGGGTCGCTTGTATTTTTCTTGAATTAATGTCAGCTTTTCAGGCGCTAGTTTTTTATTCCATCGGTTTTCCGCTATAGTAGCCAGTTTAGGGGTAATATCATCGCCGGTAGCTTCAACATCTTCAAGCATTTCCTCTAAATTCGTAAGGGTTTCATCGGTTGAATTTGTTTTGTCATTTGTGGCGCCATCTTGAAGTAAAACCGATACATTATCATCATCGTCTTGCACATGTACGCTCACTTTATCCTGCTCGATATCGGTCGTTTCGCCCCTATTTTCAAGCCGAGTTTGCTTTGTGGCCTTCGCTTTCGGCGTTTACGACCCCGACTCTCATTTCCAGAACCCGAGCTAGCTGCTGAAGATGAGGACGACCTCGAGGACGACGTTTTTGAGCGCCGCTTTTTGCCTCGTCTTCTGTGCTGGGGTTCTTCAACGTCTGGTTGTTGAAGTGGCACATTTGTGTCCTGAGACTTTTGCCATAAGTCGCCCAGCATCATTGCCATGTGGCTCATAGTTTGACTTAAATCAACTAATGTTTGAGCCAATTGTGAAACAATCTGTTCTGTGTTGTCAGTCGCCATATCTGTTTTGGAACTAAAATACATACATATATATAAGTTTTATACTCACGTTTTTGTGCCACGAAAGCCTCCGTTATGTCTTACCTACTCGTCAAAATTCTTCTGAATTTTAGCAAAGTCAAAGAGGAGAAATCACACAAGTGTTCTGATCAACAAGCTGCAAGCACTGATCAGCGAAGCGCGCACGCGCTTCTGATGTGACTCCATAGTGACGTGACTGATGACGTAGTAGAATTGCAACGTTCATGGTGTCAGAATGCACGTGCTTGATGTTTCGGCTTAAAATTTGAATTTGCCGCGACAATATTTAAAACGATGATATAAATTAAATAATATATTATAGCTTGGCATCTACTCAAGTTTCAATCCTCAATTCTTTATGTGCTTATAAATATCTAGGCATATCCCAGCTAAATGACTGTGCATATCTCAGTTACAATAGTCATAGAATAAAAGTTATTCTGAATAAGGAGTGCATTATTGCCATTATATAATAATACAGTAATTAACACACAATTTATAAAAACTGTATGTTTTGAATCAAATATGATTCACCTTCAGCACAGGCGGCCCAGACGTGTATTTAATAGTGTATAATAAATATATACTATACACTATATAATGTTCCACACGCTTTCGCTTCATATTGCACGATGCTTTAATCCTCCTCAAATTGTTTTTGTCCCCGAAAGAAACGTACACCAATTTCTCAGGTTCCATGCCACATCAATCAATCAATCAATCAATCAATCAATCAATCAATCGTATCTGTTTAATTAAAATCAATTTGCATTTTTAAAAGAAAAACTGAATTACATGGAGTACTAATATAGTATAATATATATATATGTATATATATATATATATATATATATATATATATATATATATATATATATATATATATATATATATATATATATATATATATATATATATATGTAGAGAATATAGAGACCGACGTTATAAAGACTGACGTTAGCAAATATAGGTGGCGTGGACGAGCGTTGATCGATAGTTTTAAATCCGAACACTACAGGAAAGTTGTAAGACTGTTAATATTAATATATCTTCAGAAATAAACTATTACATTGGTGGCAGCGGCAAACAAAATATAAAGAATGTCTAGCGCTGAATTACTTCAAGAAATTGAGAGACTTACCAAGCGTGTTGAGGAACTGGAGAAGACAGAAAACGATGCGACGCCATCGTCGAGTTTAAACCTGCCCGTGGTTCAAGTAAATAATCAGAAAGCAAAGCCAGATAACTACTCGGACGGCCCGTGGAACGAGTGGATTAGTCACTTCAAGCTGTGTGCTCAGATAAACAACTGGGACGACACACAGTGTTGCCAACAGCTAGCTGTTTCTCTTCGCGGTAGAGCTCAGCGAATCTACTTGACGCCTCAAGATAACGAGAAGACGTGTTTTGACGACCTAGTGAACGCACTACAGTCTAGAATTCAGCCAGACCAACAAAGGAAAATCCACAAGCTGACCTTCAATGCGAGGAAACGAAAACACGGGGAGAACATTGTAGATTTAGCAACTGATCTGCGACAACTCGCTGCACTGGCGTACCAAAACAAGGATAAGTCGCTTGTCGAAGAGGAACTCGTTGAACAATTTATCCGTGCCCTCGACAGTAAGGAACTACGTATCGGAGTGAGTCAAAGTGACCCAAAATCTCTCGATGAAGCTGTAAAACTAGCATTACGTCTGGAAAGTATTCATTTGGCTGAAATGAAAAACAACAACACCGCGAAAATCAACATGGCGGGAGACGAGCAAGATACCGCTGGCTTCGACATGGCGGGCGCGAGAGATAAACGAAACGCTGCAGGCCTCAACATGGCGGGCGCGAAAGAGGAAGATCAATCAACACCACGATGGGCGAAAACGTACTTTGATCAACAAGCGGAACTGATGGATAAAATGAGTAAATTTCTTGTGAAAAAACCAAATACGGCCTCATACCCAAGACGTCAAAGGGGAAATAGCCAGTGCTACCATTGTGGAAAATATGGTCACTTCGCACGAGAATGTCAATTGCAGAATCAGGGAAACGCCTACAGGGCGGGTGCTTTATAGAGCCCCCGCCCGCGCCGAAACGTGTTGAAACCGCTGAGTTTAGGAATAAAGGCAAAGCTAGTGCAACAGACGACACCACAATATTTGTGAACTGTCGAGTTAACAGGTACTATGTTAAAGCTTTGGTGGACACTGGCGCAGCCGTGACTATCATGCACAAGGATTTACTGGCGCGAGTACGTAATAAAGGAACAGAAGTGAGA